ATGCCCTCAGAGGCCAGCTTGTAGGATTTTTGTTTCATTCCATAATACATAAAGTTCAGTGGTCACTGTTAACCCCCGTAACAGTGGCACTGGAAGTGGGCCAGGGGGGAGCTTGCAGAGGCTGGACCCGGAAGATGTTGGGGTGGGTGTCACCTGGGAAGTTCCTGGCAGCAGCTGCACATGTTTTTTTAATCCCTCAGCAGCTCAATCTTTGTCCCAGCCTCCTGTCCAGTGATTAGCAGAGAGTTAGTGTCTTTTGTCAGGCAGACTGCTCTGGGAAGGGGCAGTTGGAAGTTTTTTTTACCCCCGCTCTTGTGTCTGGGCTCTGGAAAGGCTGTCCTGGAACCTGTCTGTGTCCATCGACGGGCGGTGAGATCCTGTATCATTAGTTCTATTTTTCTGTCCTTTTAATTACTTATTAGCAATAGCATTGTCAGTAACTCCCTCAGTTTCATTTATATAATTAAATAGTTCTTATCTCAACTTCTATGAGCCTCCCTTGTTTTCCTCCGACCCTTCCTCACTGGGAGTGTGGGGGGTGGAGTGGTAGAGCGACTGGTGGTGCTTAATAGCCAGACAGGGCTAAACCACAACAAAGGTGTCCCTGCCCATGGCAGGGGGTGGGACTGGGTGGTCTTTAAAGCCCCTTCCCACCCAAACCTGTGATTCTACGATTAAGCTGCCCAGACAGGCTGCGAAATTTCCATCCTTTGACACAATTCAAACTTCAACTGCACAAGGCCCCAAGCAATTTAGCCTTGACTTTGAAGCCAATCCTGTTTTGAGGAGGAAGCCAAGCTAGATGATGTGAGCTACTGCCACACCGAGTTCTGCCGATTCTAATTCAGTTAGCAGGTTCTCTTAAAGAGATAATAAAAGGTTAATGAAATGTATGAGTTAATGCTATAAAGAAAGGTGATTAAAGGTCATCTAAAACCAGCAAGTTATTCTCCTTATCAGTAATTCTTGTCAGCAACTAGTTGCTTGGTTGGGTGTTTTGGGTTTTTTTACAGTGGTACTGTATGTACATTGCTGTTACATGAATTTTTCTGTTAAAATTGCTATTACCAAGAGTTGCTGTCAGGGCACAGCAGGTTTTTGCTACCACTATGTAGGCTTTAAATAACATTTAACCACCACCACCCCCCAACAAACCTACAACCCCGAGGACTATTCCTGTGTCTCTAGACGAAAAGGCACAGCATCTCCACTTACGGTGGTCATGAGTTGCTCGGTGATGGCCGCTACCTCCTGCTGTTTCTGCAGGAGGAGAGGCATGCCCATCTCCAGCGCAGTGGCACCTCGTAACTGCACCTTGTGAGCCGAATGGACGACCAGAGGAATGATCAGCTTTGCCCACCTCACAGCCTCTTCTCCCATCTGTGCTGGAGTTTGCTCCATTAAGCTAGATCCAAAAGACAAACAACAGGGATTACAAATCTCTAAGAGACATAATGCTCAGACACGCAAAGAGAATCTTGGTATCACCAATAAATGCCCTAATTCAACATATGATTTACAGGAAACCATCCTAAACAATTTTACTTTTTTATTCTTCTGAGGAATTTTATTTTGACAGTTCTCCTAAAATTGCAACGCTATAGTGTTATTTCAGATAAACCTCCCCAGAAGCAGAACGGACTGACATTTACAGTTGTCCTTGCCATTCTATCACAACTTCTTGGGCAAACAACCTGAGCTGAGAGCCCGAGTCACTCCCTTATCAGTGACCACGTGGGAAGTTTGCATATTAACCACCCTTTGTGTATTCCCAGCAGCCCAGACCAGCTCGACAGGCCACACTGCTGAAAACAATACATGCCTGCTTCTGAAAAACAGCTTAAACCCTGAAGCAGCCCAGGCCTGCACAGACTCACTGCACATTAGCCTACCCAAGTGTTCATGCCTCATCCCTCTGTGACCAAGCTGTTAGAGCACAGTATGACAAACAATTCCATGTTTACACCACCCCACGCAGAGCCAACGAGACTTTCAGAATCTGCCAAGTGTTTGTGCCTCATGCCTCTGTGACCAAGCTGTTAGGGCACAGTATGACAAACAATTCCGTGTACACCACCCCACACAGAGCCAACGAGACTTTCAGAATCTCGGGAGCACCCAGGAACCAGCTCATCTCCAGAGGTTGTGGAATTTTGCCAACTTTGGCACAGATATATCAAATCCCCATCACCACAGCTTAGGGAGAGGGTTTGCTGTACTAAAGAAAACTGCTGCCTTTCAAATGATTTTACTGAAGTCAGAGGACAAGCACTGCTTAAGAGAACAGTTTTCCATTACATCTGTCAGCAGCCCAACTTCTGAACAAGAACCAATCAGCCTGAGACCCAGTATCTGCTTATTTTCAAACACAACTCTCACTGTTAGGGATAACTACCTTCTTTTAAATAAACACACAAAATTATTTTTATATATACAGAGAAGCCTTTTATGAAATGTACAATTTTCCAGAAAGAAGAGTCAACTCAGATTTGCAAGAGAATAATTAGTGTACAATTAGCCAAATGCAAGAAGCTGCTAACTACCAAGTAAATTAAAACATCCAGCTTCTCTGCTACAAAAAACCCTCATGTATTAGAGATAAAATAAGCAAATAATTACTGCTTTAACTACTGGACTTTAAAATGGATTTGGAGTTTAAACCAGACACAAGAGTAATATATTGTATAGATATCAGCTCAACATAAACATAAAGACACAACTTGACTAAAACAGTGCACTCCCGGCGCTGGTCCTACAGTTGCCTTTGGAATGAAACAGCACCCTCGACGGTGTTACGAGAAACTTGGTGCTTTACAGGTTTTACTGCCATGGAGACATTTTTAAATATAAACCCACATAGTGGCTGAGAATTTCTCAGCCAGGTAGGTTCTGAAAACAAGAATGCAGAACATAGCTTGTGAAGCACCCATGAGACTTTGGAAAGAATTCCTAATCAGCCAGTGAAAATGAGAGCTTATCTGAATATTGACTATCTTCTGTGTCAGAAGTGGTTGTTGTATTATCATTAATGGAATATTTTGTAAACGAAGGAGTTCAGAGCCACTGGGAAAGGGACAGAAACAGAGACGATAGTTCACACAACTTCACTCTGTTCTGACTGTAACACAAATGCTGCGAGAAGAGAGTCTTGAGCATACTGAACAATTCAAAGAGAATTCAAAAAAATCTGTTTCTGCATTTTTCCAAAAAGCCTAAGCACCTATTTTAACAATTCAATATTGCAGTGCACATACCGTATAATGACATTCAGTGCTTCATATTCAACCACCATAGACTGTACGTCCCCTTTAGTAAGTATCATTTCCAGGGTAGAAATAATACTGGACACCTGAGGAAATAAGAGAACGGTAGTGAGAACCTGAACACAAGTATTGCCACGAGGAGCTGGCATTATGAAATTTTGTTTCCCAGGAGCATGTCCTGTGTTTGGCTTGTGTTGGGTCTAGTTTCAATATGAGCGCTCTGACCAAACTGGAGTATTTATATCACCTCCCGTGTGCTGCAACACTGGTACCTACTAGAACTGCTCACAGCGCAACGTCTCCCTCAAGAGCAGCAGTAATTTATTGGCTTTTTTCCCTCTGTAGCTGCCCTTACAATTTTTCCAAGAATTTAAGGGCATACACTTGGCTGTCAAACATGATGGACAACAACCTTCAAATTCCAAAGCTACTGAGAGTGGAGAATGACTAAGAGCTTGCACAAGCATCACCTCCCTAGGAAATCAGGCCACACCAAAAAAAAAGTGAAGAAACTTACCTCTTTTTTAATGATTTCAGAAGGAAACGCCTGCTTAGAGATCACCCAAAGTGCCCGAGTGCGAGTGTTTTTGTCTGCAGTTTTTGAAGCAATGCTGTTCAGCATTGAAAGCAAGTCCTGCATCTCAGTTGCTGAAAGCAGAATGCACAGCACTCAAATTCCCTTCACGCGATTCCCATCAGCTTCCTAGCACGTTTCAGGTCATTTTGCTCAGCTCACATTAGTAAAGATCCATTCAACCAGAAGTCCCAATGGACATGATTTAATGTCTTATTGCTTTTTGGCAATGTTTTGAAATCTCTCTCAAAATAAACTAGCATAAAAGCTCAAAAAGTATTAATACACGATTAATGCAGTATATCTATAACCTCTTTAAGAAACCAGAAAACGATAAAGCAACAAGTTTACCTAAAACCACCACAGCAGAGGATAAAATATTTAATTCTTAAAACCTTTTTGGATTTCAAATGAATTTAGCAGCACTTTGGTCAACGTCACTGCTATACTGACCTACATAAATTCCTATTAGGGTCTACAAGAGGTTTTATCATTAAAGAGGGCAGCAAACCTCTGCCAGACAGCGAGCTTATTATACAAAAAAGAGCAAGGCTAACACAGGACTTGGATGCACCTAGAGAAATCATGCATTCCTTCAGAATTCAACACTAACAAAGCCTGATTTCTTACAAATTTGGTGTCTGTGGGCAAATGATCTCACGGTCAGAGAAACAAACTCACATATGCTCTCCTCCTCAATCAAGAGTGCATATGCTTGTTGTCCTCTCTCCCTAACTCTCCACTGTTTTCAGGACTTAATTATTGCTGAAGCCTGATATTCTAAGAAAATTGCCTACAATTTAGCAACTGGTTAAAAAAGTTATGTGGGAAAGTAAAGGGATCTCATTCTCACAGGAAAACAGGCTGGAGTTTGAGTAACAGGAAAGCAGGGCACACAGGAAAATGAGCAGAACGGAGAGAAAGAATCAATTTCATCGATTTCAACGAGCAGAATGGCAGAGCCACATGAAAACACGCTCTCTCTCTGCACATCCACACGTGATTCTGTTCAGTCTTGCCCGAGATTAAGTTCCTCTCTAACACATGTCATCCCAGAACACTTGTCCAGGAATATTTAACACTTCTCAGAACCGAAAATAAACACAGACTCCGGCACCATACAACAGCCAAATCACAATACATCTCCTCGTGTGCCCGTGACAGGGAACCTCAGCTTCAGCACCTTCCCTCCACCACCACACAACCTCTCTAGCTCACGCTGAGCAGCTCCCGATCACGTTACTGCAACCGGAAATGCCCAACCCCTGGTACCTGTAGCAGATCCCTCACGAGGACCTGGATGCGAGCTCTCCCCTGCTAACCAAGTGTTAGGCCAGTGTTTTTACCTCGGCGCATAGCCTCGAGTTCTCAGCAGCAAAACCTTTTGTTAAAGGGATCCCACAATTCTAGGGATGTGGGCTGTGAGATCTGGGATGACTTTAAATTAGTTTAATTTGAAATATTTACCAGTACAACGTTTGGGGCTGGACTAGATGACCTTTACAGGTCCCCTCCGACCCAAACTGTTCTTTGATTTAATTTAACAACCACAACTCACCAAGCAGAGGCTGGAAAACACCGGCCAAATTCTACAAACTAACAAAACAAATGGTCTTCATTCTTCTTCCACCTGGACATCTTTTTTTGATTGCTAGTTCCGCAAAACTAATTACAGGACCTAACTGCTAGCAAAGCATTTAATGAAACTACAAGTCAGTAAAACAGCGTTAACATAACAACATCCTGTACACTTGTTTGTACAAGATGGAATTAGTCAACCGATCAGAGCTCCTCCTAGGGACAAATCCACTGTACGGCTTGGGAACTGTACTCTTTCTCAGAATTAAGGTATGTGCTAACAAAGAAACACAGACCTGACAAAACAGCTCCATACACACACACAGCCAGCATCCACGCTGTTCGCTTACCAGACAATTCAGTTGTATTCTTGGAATTAAAAACGCAGAAGCCCAATGCCTGTAACGCTGCATTGCTCAGCTCTGTGTTTTGACTTGAAATATGTGCCTGAAAAAAACCCCACACACACATGAAGTCTCCGTTTACAGAAGTAGCTGCAAGTGCTGGCTTAATCCCAACACTTCTGCTCCAGGAGGAGAGAGCTGGCAAAAGCAAACACCTCATGAAAAATGCACCCAGGTAGGAAACGCTTCCCGTTTATACACACTCCAGGCCAATAAAACTATCTGAGGTTCTGAAGACATTTTTGCTCTCTGCAATTTAGACATCTTTACTGAAGTTCTAAACATGTAAAGTTCTTTACTTCTTCGCTTGTTATGTACTAGCACTTGACTCTCTGGTTTTAAACATTTAAAACAGAAGGGAAAGGCAGATGGCTAGGAACAGTCTTTGTATTAATCTTTAAAAAAAAGTGACATTTACAGCATATTCCAATTTCCCAAAGTGTTTCTAAAGGCAGAGAGAACGCTCTATCTTTTCTGGCTGGAAGATGAGATTTGACTGCACACCACTGCCAGAACACATCCAAGACTGTGCTCTTTTATTCCTTCTGCAGTAATTTCTAACACCACAGAGGGTGTATTTTGCTAACAAACCCTCACTGCTCTTTCACTCACTTGAATTCTTTATTCAATGAACTCCAGATCTTACAACGGCCACTGACCTCGACCATCTCAACATTGTTCAAAGTGCAGAAAGCTGAAAAGACATACCTTAAACACTTTGCAAAGTTGAGGAAAGTGTCTTCTGACACCTGCACTGAATTCTTTGCCTTCCTCGCCTGTCAAGCGACTGTAGGGAGCAGAAGGGAAAACAAGCAACATTCACAGGTTAAACATCGTATATTGACATAACTTTAAACTTCTAATACACAGATCAGTAGCTTGTACCGAACCTTTCCTTTCCTTAGAAAGCTAAATACAACACTGAAGAAGTTAGGAGAGAAAAAAATGAGATGCCAGTCACCACAGTCTGACACATCAGCCAAACGATGTGTTATAAAGTACACATCTCCTGTTGTACTGGAAAAAAAATGAAATGGCTATGACCCATCTTGTGCTTATGGAGCATAAACACACATTAAAAGCTTTTAATGTTTCTGTAAAAGCTGATGCAAAATGAAAGTTAACAGGCAAACAAATAACTGCTGAAAATTAGATAAACCTCCCACAGAAGTACACGAGCTTAAGCAGCAGATTCCTCAAAAGCTGTCCCAGACCGCATGCTCCCCACTCCAGGGAAAACTCTGGTTTGACAGCTAGCAGCGATGACCTCGCGCATACATGGTGAACATCCATACAGAAAAGCTGTACTTGTGCTGTTAACGACCAGTTTCACACAGCAAACAACAACCATCCATCAAGAGCGAATCTCCCAGAAGGAGATTGCTCAAACCTGAGCAATCTGTTGTTGCTTAATGCTGCCTTTCAGTCAGGACGGTTCTTTTTTTTTTTTTGTCAGTTATAACTGGAAACGTGTAAAATCTCACGGTGTGATCAGTATCGCTGATCTCCAAGAAGTTACAGCCTTAAAAAACACTACAAGACGTAAAAACAGGTACTCAAGGGAGATACCGAAGGCGATAGTGCCTCTGCAGACTCTAAGTTCGACAGATCCAGGTAAAAGCAGGATTGAACGGCTAAGATGTACCTTCCACAAAGAAAGGTAAGGAAGGCAGGATCATTCCAGAACCCGAAAGCCACGGCAAACCTTAACCTTTCTAATCATATAGTTGAAAAGCAAGTCTTCTTTCAGCCGGAAAAAGTTATTTCCCAACATTCCCGCTCCCACCTCCGCAGCTTCCGCAAGAAATGCAGAAGGATAGGCTCTCGGAGAAGCAGCCGCGAAGGAGACGCCCTCTTTC